CACATACTGCATTGGTGGTAAGAATATTTAGAATCCACTCTATCAGCAAATTTTAGGTATGCAATACAGTATTATTAACTGTAATCACCATGCTGTATATTTGTTCTCTAGAACATATTCTTCCAGGATAATTCAAACTTTGTGGGGTTTTAAAAAATCTTTTTTGTCTCATATAGCTTAGGCTAGACTTGCACTTGCTGCATTGTCAAGTACCACGTTGAACTCCTGATCCCCCTGCCTCCACCTCCTGAACGCTAGGTTAGCAGTCATGCGCCACCACCCTGGTTTATGCAGGACTGGGGATCGAATGCAGGGCTTCCTGTCTGTTAGGCAACAATCTACACACTGGCTACCTTCCCTAGCTCCAAAACGCTGTACTTTCTGACCAATATTTTTCCCACTCCCCAAATCCTAGCAATCACCGTTCTACTCACCAGTCATGAGTGATTCAGCTTGTCTTTGTTGTTTTGTTCTATGAGTTCAATTGTGTAAGATTTCATATATAAGTGAAATCATAGAGTATTTGTCTTTATAGGCCTGGCTTGTTTGTCTTAGCGTAAATCTCCTCCATGTTCATCTCTATTGACACAACTGGCAGATTTTCCTTCATTTTAAGATCCAATAACGTTGTATTGTATTTAAATGCCACATTTTGATGCATTTTTCCCACCAACAAACATGTTGACAGCACATTTTCACGTCTGTGAATAATGCTACAATGCAAATATCTCTTCAAAGGCACTGAATTCATGTCCTTTGAACACACAGTTGATGATTGAACAACATGGGTTAGAACTCTGCGGGTCCACTAGCAAGCAAACGTTTTTACCGCTTTGCACCAGTTTGAAAAACAGAAACTGTAGCTTATCAATATTGAAAAAAATGAGAAAAACTGAGGTATGTTATGACTGCACAAAATAGATGTAGTTTATAGTCTATTTCATAACTTGCTACCATAAACATATATAAATATATTCTAAAAATCTTTTTATCAAAACTTATGTGCACAACGCAGACTTTATACAGTGCCATTCATAGTTGAAAGAAACATCGACAAATGTAAAGATGCAGTATTAAATAATTACTACAAAACAACTATTCTGTATATTATACAACTGTAATGATTTCATAGCCTATAATCTCTTGGTCCCATACCTTTGACAAAATATCATGTTGGCAGGAGGGTGGTTCAGAAGAGCTTTTCCTGATGTACAGGAAGAAAAGAAAAGGTACTAGAAGAGGCCAGAGCAAGAAAGAGTCCCAAGGACATGCCCCAAATTACCTACTTCCTCCAACTGGGCCACATCCAACCTTTAATCAATTCTCAATAATGTGATCATATTTTGAATCTATCAGAGATTAATAAATTCATTAAGTCAGAGCCTCCACAATCAAATAATCTCTAGAAACATCATTTCAGATCCATGAACCCCTTAGACATTTTTAGTCCACTGAGGTTGACAATAAAAGTAACCATCACAACAGGAAGTGTCCCCCAACACTATCATTATTCCTAACTGATCTCTGCCGTTTATAGCAGCTCAGCAAAGGTGGCAAGCAAGTCAGGGAAGCCAGTCTTTTCTGTCATAATGGGTGTCAAGCCATTATGCGGGCTTGCTGTTCCCTTGATTAAGTTTCTTCCCCTTATCCAGGACTGTGCTTATCAACTTGAAGGAAAGCTGAGAGTGAATTTAACGGAGTTTCTCAAATAAAAGAGAAGCGGGAGCACAGTTCTTAAGGGAATAAAAATAGACAAGTGACCTAGCTTCTAGCCATAGAGAGGGGATTTTAGGAAGTTCCACAAGAAGGTCATTGGCATTGGAATCAGACCACATGCCTGAGTTAGAATCCATAGTGCACTGCATACTCATCATGTGACTTGGGCGTGATTAACTTTCCAACCTCTGTTTATTTGTGTGTAAGATGAGGTATATTAATTCCAACACTGTGGTATTGTGGGGAGAAGTAAATAGGGTAACAAAGACCCATGGCTAGAGCCTGTGTGCCTATGTCTGACATTGCGCTGGATAACCAGAGGCTGAGCACGAGGCAGACAGTCAGCAACCAGACTTGTTAAGTTGACTTGATTTCATAAAGCAATTCTGAGTCTTAAGAAATAAATGAGACAAGCAAAAGACAGCCCCAGAAAGGGCTTTGGAACTGTGTTGTGAAGTAGGATACTGCTGCGCTTTGAGTGTGAAATGTACCCCACAGGTGCAAGTATTTGAATACCAGGTGGCCTGTTTTGAGAGCTTGGAAAATCTTTAGGAGGTAGGGCATAGCTGGGGAAGTGGCCACTGCTGGTTGGATCTTAGGGGTTTCAGCCTAGCCCCTGGTTCCCACTCAGCTTTTCTTCTTCCTGATCCATTGAGATGTGAGCACACCACTAAGTCTTCTCCACCATGATAGACTGACTGCATCCCCTCCCACAGTGAGCCAGAGCAAATCCTTCCTCCTTTATGTTGCTTCCTGAAGTCTCTAATCAAGAGTCTAAGTCACAATACAGAAATTCCCTGGGCGTCCTTTCTCAGAAATAGAAATGTAGAGACAGGAAGAAGAAGAAGGAAAATAAGATATTCTTGATGTTAAAAAGAGAGTTATAAAAGCAGTGTATACAGCATGTCTACTGTAGCATCATTTGTGAAAATTTCCCTTGTCATGACTTAAAATCTGGTCTCATTCACTTCCAGAATGCAGATATATACAAAAAACACTTCTCGTTCTCAGGAGTACTGGCATTTTGGATCTTGTCACACTTCCCTGTGGGGGCTGTCCCGTGCAGGATGCTGAGTGGCACCCTGGACCTCTGCTCACTACCTGACAGGAGCTCACTCCACCTAGTTATGACAACCAAACATGTCCCCAGACATGCCAAATGCCCTTGGCCAGATTTAATCAATGCCAGATTTAATTTAACCAAAGAATGTGAGGAAAGAAGGGCTGGGGAGATGCTCAGTGGGTAAAATACTTGATGCACAAGCATGATGACCTGGGTTTGGATATTTAGCACCCATATAAAGACAAAATGTCATGGCCCCCATCTGTAACCTCAGCACTAGAGTTGACATGGAGACAAGTTGATCCAGGGGGTTGCTGGTGAACCCCAGGTTCAGTGAGAGACCTTGTCATAAAAACAAGGTGGAGAGTAATAGAGGGAGACATGTCTGACATCAGCCTCTGGCCTCCACACATGCACATATGGGTGAGTATGCACACACACACACACACACACACACACACACACACACACACAAGAAAAGATATATTAAGAAGGAAGAGACTCAGCATTCAGGTGGAGCCCAGCAATGATTCAGTTGACGAGTGCTTTTGAGTAGATGTTTCTGTCACCCCAATTTGGCCTCTAATCCAGCTGCCTGTTGGTGGAAAAGGTCTATTTGCACGAAGTGTCTCAAAGATTGAAAAATGCTGTCCTTCCTGGGAATTTTCCAAGGTGTTGGAAAATAATATTCTTCCTTATCATCGTCTTCCCTTGTTAGCTGCATCTAGACCCTGACCTCATGTACTCAAGTATACTGCGTGGATCCTGACCTTCTATTCTGTGCTTTTGGGGTTTGGGCATCCTGCAGTCTTGGAATTCTGTAGGTCCTTCCCTGTTAGGGCAGGCTAATTCCTAGAATAGCAATATGTGGGGTCCCTCATATGAAAGCCAACCAGTTCAGCTCTAGCTGATCTCCTACTCAGACAGGCCCTAACATTCAGTTCCCTACCCCTTCCTGCCTTATCACTGGAGAGCCAGGTACAGAATGCACAGAGAAGCCCTCATGCCCTAAAGCAGTAAAAGCAAATCCTGAAGAGACAGTGTATTCCTGCCCCACCCCATGGGAACCCCTTCATTCCTCTGCCTCCTGCCTGGCAGGGGTTCCTCTACCTGTTCCCTGTGGGATGTGTTGCCTCACCTTTTTGGACTTGAGAGCATAACAAAGGCGTGTTTCAATGACAAATGCCCCTTGATTTATTGGCCTCACCAAACCTAAATAAAGACAAATTCTTCATTTGGTAACACATGCATAGCAAGCATCCAGGTTGCCTTATGGATGCTACTCCCCAGTGTTTGTACACGGCCTCAAACTTCTTCCTGGGTGGAACCTTCCTTCCAGCCATTCCTCCTGCCTTTCTTCCCCGTCCCTTCTGCAGACCCAGGCAGTCAGTGTCCCTTACCATCCGCAGCTTTTTCAGACACTAGCCCTGACCTCACTTTCCAGATACTGCACTACTTCCTCATGGCCCTGACCCAGTCTGCACTTTACGTGGCTGATCAATTGATTAAGGGTTGATTTCCCCCTTAAGACTGAATTGGCAGGAAAAGGGTAGCTGAGCCGGTTTTCCTTTGACTGCCCCAGTGAGCACGTAGTATGTGCTCAATCTTTGTTCATTTAAGGAATGAATGAATATCCTTGAACTTCTAGAAAAGGAGAAAAAAGTCTCAAAAAAGAGTCTGAAGTCTAGTGAAAGAAAGTTCAAGAAAGAGTGAGACATTTCATTACATGGCTGTAGGGGAACCAAACTGTGGTCTTCTGCAAGAGCAGTACACCCACGTAACCACTAAGTATCTCTCCAGCTCCTTTTCTTTCTAAAGATTTATTTTGATGCTGCTTTCTTTCTTTAAAATTATTATAAAATTATAAGTTGGTGTTATGATATAAAAGATGTAAAAGACTGTGAGAAACATGTTATACTTGTATGAAATAACACATCCTTATAAAGAAGATTTTATTATTATTATTATTATTATTATTATTATTATTATATTTCTATCCTAAGTAAAGGGGCCTGGAGAGATGGCTCAGTGCTTGCTGCTCTCTTAGAAATCCTGAGTTAGGTTCCCTGCTCCCAACCACCTGTGTGTCCAGCTCCAGGGGGATCCAACATGCTCTTGTAGCGTCCTTGGGCACTTGCATGCATGTATATGCATACACATACACACATATACACATAAATAAAAATGAAATAAACCCTTTTAAAAAAAAAAACAGAGAAGGATACTTAAGTAGCAGGGGAGAGACCATGATCATGAAGGTGGTTTTCCCAGGGCGAGGCTTATCCATTATACTTTGGATGTGCTGACCCTTGTGATTTCCCCAAATGTTGGAAACTCAGCTGCATAATTTGTGGTAGTGGGGGACTATGTTCATGCTCTCCCCTAAAAAAGTAAAAATTAAAAAAGAGGAGGAGGATGCTTATGAGGTTAAATGGGTTTTAGAAGGCTAACTACATTCATCGTGATTATTTTTAGTTTCTTTTTTAAATTTCTTTTTCTAACTATGATTTCTAAATTTTATACAAACAAGGGTTGAGTTTACAATTAAACATAATTTTAAACATATTCTAAAACATGCAAATACTAATACTGGAATAAAATATTCTTTCATGTAGTATTATTAGAAAAACACAGTATTTAACTTTTTTTTTGTCTTTTTGAAGCAGGGTCTCCCTGTAGCCTCAGCTGTCCTGGAACTCACTATGTAGACCAGGCTGGCCTTGAACTCATGGAGCTCCACCTGTCTCTGCCTCCCAAGTGTTAGATAACATTTTATACACAGATAAGTTTGATTTTTTTAAGTGGAGTGAACAGGAAATGGGTACAAATATTATAAATGAGTCCTTTAGGCATTTGCAGTTTCCAGATTTCTTCAAGGACCTGGTATTTGCTGTTGTTAGCAAGCAATTTGCCAAAGCTGCCTGCCTCAGAGTGGATAACATTGAGATACTTTCATTTCAGACCAAATCTTCCAAAACAATGTGAAGCAATTGCAACTCTCAATCTGCCATACCAATGTCAGCTGGGCCCAGCGGCAGAGGCCTGTAGTTCCAGCAGTTTCAGAGGCTGTACTGCTTGGTTTTTATTGCCAACTTGATATAACCTAAAACCACCTGGGAAAGGGAGATCTAAATTGAAGAACTGGTGGGCCAGTGGCTATGTCTCTGAGATATTGTCTTGACTGATGACTGATATGGGAGGACCCAGCCCACTGTGGGCAGCACCATCCCTAGGCAGGTGTTCCTAAGCTGTTTTAAGAAAGATAGATGAACACAAGCCAGCAAGTGAGCCAGTAATTATACAACGTTCCTCTGTGGTTTCTGTTTCTGTTGTTTCAGTTCCTGCTTGTGTTCCTGCCCTGACTTCCTACAGTGATGGATTGTGACCTAGGAGTATAAGGCAAAATAAATCCTTTTCTCCATCCACCATGCTGCTTCTGGTCAGAGTGTTTAGCCCAGCAACGTAAAGCAAACTAGAACAGAGGCTGGTTCAGGAAGATTGCAAATTCAAGGCCTGCCTGGGTTAAGGCCAGTCTGAAGAAGTTGGCAAGATTCTCTCTCAAAACAGAGGCTTCAAGTCAGTAGTAAAAGTACTTGACTAGCATGTGTAAGACCCGATTCAGTTCCTACTACAGGGGTAAAATGTGGAAGAGGGAGACTTATTCTTATTTTACTATAGCAAGCTGGTTTTTGTTTTAGTCCTCATTTTAAGAGTTTGAACCTTGATCTGAATGAATTTCATTCTCTTTATTTCCTTCCAAGTCCCCTTCACCCCTGCCAGGTCTCCATTCCTAGGGATTAACCACTCTGTTCTGAACTATCGGGGGAAATTAGCATTTGTTAATGTTTCAGAAAGATCATGCTTCCCCACTTCACAGATCCCAGACCAAACTCACCCGGATTCACCCCGAGTGATCAGCATGCCGGCCTTTGCTTAGTAGTACTAAGTCTTGAAAATTCCACCCTCCTGTGATTTAAAGTCATCCAGGCAGACATGACTGATCTTTCCTCAGCTAGAGGATTTATTGTCCAATGGAGATAGAATCCTCTTTACCTAGAAAGGGTGGTCACACCAGGTCACGCTGGCTGGAGGGAACTAAAAGAGTACATTGAAGCCTAAGCTGGCAACTGCCTTTGCCTATTAAGTAGTCTTTCTGTTCTAGAGCAGATGGTGTTGGCAGTGACACATAGCCTCGAAATACACAGGCACACTCAGAAGTTGACTTTGACTTTCCACATAGTGTGTACGTGTGTGTGCATACACATACAAATATATATATACCAATCACCAGCACTTCCATGATGTTTAGTTTGCAGGCTGGTCTGTCAAGTGTATTTTCAGGGCATACCTAACACAGTGTTTGGCACACACTGAACAATCTATTTATTTTTTGCGTCCCCAATTAAATAAGTGAATTGTAAATAAACTAACATCATCATAAAAGGTGAATATACACAGAGTATGTGCCATAACAATGACACAGTCCAGATGATTTTTTTTAATCATTTTGTTTTTATCTTGTTTCCTTGAGACAGGGTCTCATATAGCCCAAGCTGGACTCAAACTCACTATGTAGACAAGAAGGACCTCGAATTTTTGATCCTCCTGCCTCCACCTCCTCAGTGCTGAGACTGATATGCCTGGTTCTATTGAGTGTTGGGAATCAGACTCGGGGATTCACACTCTATCAGCTGAGCTACATCCCCAGATGTCAGGATATTTTGTCTATAAAATGACCCAGAAGGAGTCCAGTGAGAAAGAAGCATAGCTACATTCTCCAAGTTCCAGAGCTGGAGTATGGGAGATAGCGACAGTGATCCCTCCAGAGTTGGGTTCAGCCACACTGGGTGTGGAGCATCTTGCTCTGTCCTTGAATGTGTTTTCTTCATGTCATAGTAGCTCTTCCAGGCAGAGGCACGCCTGGGAAGCAGAGTCACCACGAGGGGCTACTCAGGTTTAGTTCAGCCTCCAGCTCAGTAGAGCGGTCAGGTAAGCCCTGCCGAAGAGTCAGAGGTGCACAGCTAGAGAGGTGGCTACTCTGCCCAGTGGCTCCGGAGTGTTGGGCCCTTCTGAGCCTGGTGTTGCAGTGCGGCAAGGATCCAACCCCAAACACAGAGCTCCTAAAGACATAGGAATTTGCATCTTGATGACTAGCAGCTCAAGCTTCCTATTATCGTGGTCAAGGTCATTAACTTAGCGATTACCTTTATTTGAACACCTATAAACAAAACATATGCCTAGTACTTTGTTTCTAATTATAACTTCTCAAGAAGACATGATTGCTTTTATGTTACAAAATAGAACATTTGGAAGGGGCTAAATAATTTCCTCAGGGCTTACAGCTAGAGAAAGGCCTTCTTTCTCAACTCAAGAATACATTGTCTTCCCTTACACAGTGGCACGTGCCTGTAGTCCCAGCTACACAGGACACTGAAGCAGAAGGATCCCTTGGACCAGAGGCCTGCCTCAAGAGTATAGTGAGACTTCATTTCTTAAAAAAGAAAACTAACTCCCCATTACATAAACTAGTTGCTTTTATCTTGATGTCCAAGAACTCCAGAGGGTACCTCTCAGGAGCCAGCTAGGGATGATGACAATGCAGCGGGTTTTCGGGTTTCCTGTTACAGCACGAAGTTTGATAGAGTATTTTTGTTTCTTCTGTTTTCAATTCTACTCAGTCATGTAATATTTAGTTTGAAGAAAGAGCTATGCTTTGATGTATGAAAAGAAAAATTTACAGAAAAAAAGGGAAGGAACTGAAAGAAAAAAAAATGAAGAGAGAAAATGATTGAAAATCATTGGCCTAAAGAAGAAAATCCAGACTTCCTAATTTCAGAGCTTCTGGATCCTGAGAACCTTGCCGCCAGGCACCATCCCTGTAGCCAGCCAAAGGTCATCCACCTGTAGCCAACCCAAGGTCATCCCATCAGGGGTGAGGGCTGCCTGTCTCCCGCTCGCCTCTCACCTGTGGCCTGCAGATCTCTTTCCTCATCTTCTGAGATCAGGCTACTTTTCCCTCTTTTGCATCTCTGACTGCCTAATCCCCTCTGCCTCCTGAAGACTTCACTTGTCTCTCTCCTGGCTGGAAGCTGTCTAGTGTGCTCTAAAGACACAGAGCACTTATTCTTAATCATTCTGTGAATCACATACACCCTTGACCCACACCTTGGAGTCTGCATGCTGTATTTCTTTGGACACAGATTTTAGTGGGAATAATCTATCCTTACTTTCCTTATTGAGACTATTTACTGAGCATCTTCCATGGTATATAAATCCAGGACTGTTTCCTAGTCTGATCTAATTAATTTTGACATTTATTTTTAATTATATATATATATATATATTATTCATATGACTGATAGTTTTGTTGATTGTTTTTTGTGTGTATATCATACAGAACATCGCAAACAATCTTGTTCATCTGTATATCCACTACCCAAATGGCACCCTCCCATAGCTTCCTTCCTCCCATTATGGGTTACATTTTTATTTTTATTTTATGCATATTAGTGTTATGTCTGCATGTGTATAAATACACCTTGTTGTGCAGTGCCCATGGAGGACAGAAGAGGGCATTAGATCCTCTGGAACTGGAGTTACAGACAGTGGTTAGCCCCATGTGGGTGCTGGGAACTGAACCTGGGTCCTTGGCAAGAGCAACCAGTGCTCTCAACCACTGAGCCATCTCTCCAGTCCTGAAATAGAAAATCTTAATAACTTTGGTTCATTTAACAATCATAACAATTTTGCACAAATTCTTTCAAAAAATGGCAAATTGCATTGACTTTCAAAAAATGGCAAATTGCATTAGACTGCTTCCTACCATGGATTTTCAAACTTGACAGAAATACCACAAGCAAAGAAAATGAAGGGACAATACTTCACAAGCTTATGACACAAAAAAGTTAAATAAAATATTTTCAACTTAGAAAGAGAAATATATGACAAGCATATTACAACCTGAAGAAGTAAAATTCAAAATTGGCCTAATATTCAAAACCAATCAATGAAATTTATCATGTTAATAGAACACACACAGAAGAAATGTAATGGAGTTATTGCCTCATAAAGGAAAAAATGTAAAATATTCAATATGATTCATGACCAAAAAAAAGAAATCAATAATATTGAATCTGAGAAGTCATTCAATTCAACGTAGCAAGGAAAGGAAGTCAGTAATATAAACCTGTAAAGAAAAACGTACAACCATATTTACCCTCGATGGTATGATTGTTAATATGCAAAGTCCTACTACTGGAACTAGCACAGAAATAGATGAAGTTCATAGAATATAAATTGAGTACATAAAAAATCAATTTAGGGGCTAAAGAGATGACTTAACAACTAAGAGTACTTACTGCTTTTCTAGAAGCCTGAGTTTGG